ACCGGACCAGGCTCTCACATCACCAAGCGCGAAGCGCCGTGAGGTATTCGGCGAGTCGCATCAAGGGTGCGCTGCATCCTGCTAGGATGACAGCTGCGTATGACTGAATTCATTTTCTGGTGCTTTCACTTCCAGAGAGAGTTGTAAGCACTGTGTATCTGCCTCGAGGGTGCTTGACCATTTTAACACAACGTGGTGCGATCATCCCCCTTGCGCGGAGTGAGGGTTCTCCACCCCNTCGGCATCTTGTGCTTACTTCCTTGCGTACGGATGACAGCTGCGTATGAATTAATTTACTTTCTGGTGCTTTCACTTCCAGAGACAGTTGTAAGCACTGTGTAACTGCCTCGAGGGTGCTTGACCATTTTAACACAACGTGGTGCGATCATCCCCCTTGCGCGGAGTGAGGGTTCTCCACCCCGCACAACGTGATCTAATCGACCATCATTATGGTTACCGCCAACAAAAAACAGAGGTAAAAAAAACCCGGTAACCTGGTTGCCGAGTTCACGAAGAGAATTGGCTTGGCAAACACCGGGGGGAGGGGGGGGGAGTTCTCATGTTTCAGGTGCCTTACCAGTTAGACAATTGACCACGCGTCCTCTTGTTTGTTCCCACAGGACCGATCACCGATGGTCAATCGTTTGTTCCTACGCTTGCCAAAGGTGGCCCAAAAATGTTCTCCCTACCCAATCAGTCTATCCTATCGATATCACTCCCCGCCTTTTCAACCTTCCTATGCCCTAAGAGGGGAAGGGGGCTTGGATCGCTTCGCGTTTCGTTTCGCGCACCTTGTTCTGCCGCCACCTCCGGGAGGAAAGTGGCGCTGTAACTCGACCCCCGATCGTCGTCAAACTTGATCACAATGCCGTGCACGCCGATCTGTTTCGTTGAAAACAATCCGACAACACAACAAGACAGGCAACGGCGGTGTGGGGTAAGACGCTCAGCGGAAAGGAGACGGGCACGGAAGCAGCGCCTGTTCAGACAGAAAACGAGCCTTGGGCGTCTACCCCAAGCCGTTCGCCTGCCAGAGCAGTAAGAGGGGGTCGCTTTTCCACACCACTTTGATCAACTCGATAAGCACGCGAAGGCAAAGACCGTCAGCAGTATTCTTGTATTCAACAGACCAGGGTTTATTATGCTGTAGAGCACCATCGCACAACACACTTGGGCGCATCGTCACACACCTCCCAGTCTTCCCAATGTTGGGCTGGCTCGTACTTGACAAGAAGTGAGACGGAGACATCGAGGAAGGCGAGCTCTGACATCTCGATCGGTGCAAATCTCCTGTCATTTAACGCGCTGCTCAAGGTGGCACAGGTCGCACACGTGAAAAGGGAAGCACGGGTAGCGCACGGTCGGTAGGCCCAAGCTGTAACAATATTCCACAAATCATCAGGAGGACTTGCCCATAACGACAAATACAACGAAATTGCAGCAGCAGCTACGCAAGCGGCTCCGCTCCCGCTGACCTGCTGTAGGTGTAGTCTCTGAGCTGCGAGATGGCTTGAGGATGAAGGGTTCCTATGCAGCCCCGCAGGGACTCCGTGCCGTGCTCGTGCTTGTCCCAAGTGACGAACATGCCACTGCGGAAGCGAGTGCGGGCAAAGCGGGGCCGTGGCGGGGTAACACACGTGAAAAAGGCGCGGCTCTCCGGTGGAAGTACATTGAGAACCCTGGAGGTCTCGCTCAGCTAGATGGACGTGACAGACGGAGACGGATTCTATCAGAAAGCCGGTGTCGGCGAGAAAAAATCGCTGCACTATCCTTTGTACCAAACAAAGATCTTGTAGATCAGAAACAGCAATGTCTCTCTCGGAATCTCTACCCTTATTTTTCAGCCGCCAAACAGCGCAAAAAACACTCACACAAAGCGCCCACCCTGCTTTTACACCCGTCAAAGAGTGTAAAAAAAAAACATAACAAAACAGGCTGCACACGTGTCCCACCAGACGTAAGCCGTGGAGAACGATGGAGGAGGTGGCTCGATGTTGTTGAAGTGGGCGATGATCACATCTGAGGACAACCGAGGAGATAAATAATCGAAAACAGCAATGTGTGAGTAGATCGAAGGGGAGCCGGTCCGTTCTTGGGCGGTGGTCAAACCGGCCAACTCGGACACGAATATGTGGGACCTTCTCCGAAGTGTGCCAAGCAGGGGCTTCTACTTCGACGATCGCTACCGTAAAAGTATGTGGCATCCCCATTCGACGCGATAGAACCATATGCGGTTGTATATTCTCTGACGAGAGAGAAGCCGGGAGAGGAGGGACAGAGTGGCCGGGTCGGAACTTGAACTTGAACTAGAAAAAATGCCTTCATCAGGACACATGAAGGGATTGCTGTATCCTTATCGCGATAAAAATACCTCAGGCAGGAACCGCAGGAGGGGGTCCAGCCCCCCCTCCTATGTGACCCCGGTTGGGTCGTCTAGCTATTATAGTAGAAGTGGGAGACATGGGCCAGAGGGGCAGACGACAGAGTCCAATGATGGGAGAGAAAAAAAATGTAGTCTAGTTTGAAAATGAGACGACTTTTTTTATGGTTGCACCGCAAATACCCACGTCGGGAGACACGGCGCGACATGAACAACGGCATGTTCCAAAAAACAATTAGGCCTCCAGCTTCCTGCACGCCACGTCTCAGTGAAGTGAGTAAGCGGTGTGCTCTACATTCAACCTCTGGTGTGTGGGAGCCACGGAAGGCTGCATGAACATGAGCACATGAACACCCACCACCTACCGAAGCAGTAGGCGCACATTTCACGCGTCGCCTGCAGCGTCTCGGCAGGAGGCCCGGCCTCGGCTTGGTGCTGCAGCCCGCTGCTGCTGCTGCTGCCGCCATCGCGAAAGAACTGCCGCTCTTGCTCCGCGCGGCTGCTGCCGGCGCTGGTCGGGCTCCCAACGAGTGCTGTCGCCATCCTGCTCGTGCGTAATGGCCCCCGACCCAACCTAGTGTGTATGTAGGGTGGTTCGGAGAAGGGTCCGTAGCCCGTAGCGTGCGTTCCCGCCACGATAGCGACAAACAACAACGACGTCGGGAGGGAAGAAAATATTCCAAAACCTCTTGTCTGTCTCGGTGTACAGCAGTAGTCTACATGTAGGCACGCACAGCAATTTACTAGGGCACGATCGGATCTTTCTTTGCACAAGACGAAAAAGGTCAACCGCATCTTCAAAATAGGGACGAATTCGACGAGTTCTCCGGAAACATCTCGGGGAAGCTCAGCACCTTTTCCACGAAAGGAAGTCTATCCTTCGCTACAAAACATCCAGCAGGTAGAATCACTGGCGCCCTTGCTCTAGTAGGCCGAAACCTCACACGTGTGATATACCTGTTGCCGAACCAAGCGGAGGTCGGGATGTTTCAAGAGCTGATACATGTACTTGTACGCAGAACGGGAATACGAAAACGTCGGTCGTCGTTGACTCGATTTGTTTGACGTTTCTTGTGTGTGTTCGAGGTTCACGAGTCGGCCATGAAGCAAAGATCTCGGTCCAACGGGATAGAAACCCTACGTCCTTGACAAGATCGTACCACCTCGTCCGAAAAGCAGACAGAGTAACGGGGCCCAGCCCGAGATACTACAGCAGTCAGTGTGTATCGAGCTCTACGAATACCAGGTTCTTCCCAGTCGGAGAGCGTAGGGAAGCGCACGCCGCCATGCCCAAATTCTCGTCACAAAGGCACACACGCTGACAGGACGGAGACGGAAAGACAGTCAAGGCATACGTTCGTCGCATGTCTAGCCACTAGCTCGCCACGACTCTCACCTGTTGTAAGCTTTCGGTTGCCCGAGAGAAGGGTCTACAGCAGTAGTTTGAACGCGAGTTGAGCTCTCCGTCCCAATTTCAAATGCACCGAAATATACAGCGGCGTTTTTTGTTCGGGGATGCCTGGGGGCTCCGTAAATCGACGTAAAACACGAATATAGCAAGGGGGAGGGTCGTGGACCACCTGCTGCTCCTGGCTGGCCGGACCTGTGTGCTGCTGCTCGGCAGTCGGAGAAGAAGGTGGTACCTGTACGAGCAACCGGACAGCTGGGCGTGTCCGGAGCTTGGTTGATCGAAGCTATGTCGTCTTCGTTGCTGGAGAGAGCGCGAGGTTTCCACGAAGACCTCGAGATCTACGAGCGTGGTATCATTGAGCAATTGGAGACCAAGCCGCGCACCCAAAAGGTGGGGGGATCAGCAGCAGCGCTCGCCCGCGTGTGCGGCAAGGGCGGCAGCTGGCTTCCCGTAAGATTGATAGCAGCTGCTGTGTTGGGGGGGGAGGGAAGCGATTCTCTACGTCTGCCTCAAATTTTCCGTGTAGATAGGCAGGGTTGTTGGTCCACGAAGGATCTACAAGTGGGGTTCGAGACTGCGTCCGCTGCAGTGGAGCGCGCAACTCCCTTTCGTGTGGGCCGATGTCAGGACATTGTTGGCGACTCTGTCGGATCGCACGCTATTGATTGCAACAGAGGGTTTGTTGCTACTGTCTTGGAGCCGGAGAGATATAGCTTCCTTTGTGCGTGTTGAATCGCAAACCGCTGCTGTGTACGACATTTTTCTACATCCCGCTAACATCGTTGTTCCCAACCCACCACCTCTCTCTGTGTGATGCAGCAACAGTAGAGATAGACTATTGCTGTATAACCCCTTCCACTGGTGGTGATGTTGGAGACGGGCGGTACAGACAGCTCTGAGTAGGCTGTCGCGTCGACAACAGTGTAGTTCACGGTCACAAGAGAGCCGGTGTACTGTGGGTATGATCAGTGTAGTGGATTCGTATTGTGGACGTTTTTTGTTTTCACCAGCATGGTTGGTCCCCACCTCGCCAACTCTTCGCGGCAACGCCATGATATCCTCAGAACGTTGCTTGTCCTAGACTGCTCGAAGACGCGCTAATAAATAGCACACCTCGCCTGCTTGATGCCATGACCCACGAATCGTATCCATACTTGGCGGCATTCTGGACTCAAATTCTCTCCCCTCCCTGTGCTTCTGTCTGCACGAACAGGAGCGCGTGGCACAACAACACCGGATAGCCAACCTCTGCGACGGGTCCACCGAACGCAGCCAAGGTCTCCATGAGATTTATGAAGACGCTGACGGCTCCATGAGGGAAGAAGTGAGAAACACAAGCATGTCTTCTGCCCTTAGGAGCATGGTGCAATCCACCCGATGTCCCGATACTAGCGTCCAAGCGCGATCTTCGTTTTTTCTCGTCAACACAGCAGTCCTGACCATTCCACGCCTACTGTGCCGCCTGTGGCTGACTCTCCACACGGTGCACGCTTTCTGGGCAACAGGTGGCGTCAATGAGGGGCCAGAAAGTAATGGATACCTTTTACGACCGGTTGAAGGAGACTTGGAGCTACCACACGCATCATCCGGGACTGCCGGTGAGCGCTCGGAAAGGATAACGCCTCTAGTGGAGCGTTTTCGTCGAGAGAAGCGCTTTGCGGCATTTTGTGTGTACCCATTTGTGACATGTTTGTTTTAACCGGAAGCCAAGTATTTTTCGAGGAAATAATGTCCGGCCTTTCGTGTTGCTGCAGAATTTTTTCGGTGTGGACAGACTTTCGCAAAGGATTAATGTTCGTTGCATCCCCGTATTCACAGCGCATGCTGAATGCTTCCCGCCCACCAGAACTTGACACTTGTCCCACTGGCGATGTAGAGCGGTCGACCTGATTCCGGCTTGTTCCCGGGCGCTGGCTGGCTTTGGTTCACAGTTGAGAGTGCCGACTCCGCCAAACTTGTTTCGTTGCTGAGCGCGTTCTGACGGCGGGTGTGGTGGCTGCTTGATTGCTGTATTGCTTGCCCTCAGGTGACATTCGGACCGAACTTGGAGGCAGAGACGGAGGTGAAGGTGCAGTTCTCCGGAGAAGAGCTCTACGGCAAGGTGAGACACTGCTGGTGCTGCGCGAGTGCGGGCGTGCTTGGGATGGGGGGAGGCGTACCGTCTCCTCTGCTTGTGTACACATGACAATCAGGAGGCAAGGACAGGGGTGGTGGCGATGGAGAGCTCTGTGGTGCTACATTCTGTGCCATGTCTTGTTAATTGTGGAGGTTGTATGCAATTGGCCGTGAGATGCTTTCGATCAATGCTATTCTCACGGCATTCCCGCACACACCGCCTGCCTCTTTTGATTAGTTCTACCTTCGTCGTCGTCGTTGTGGTTGCGGTGTTGGTGGGGTGTAGTTCTTCGACCTGCACGGCATGTTCGTTAGGTGGGTCAACCTTCCTCAGTGCAAGGACAAGCAGCTGGACTACTCGCAGTTCCTACAGGCCTTGGGAAGGTTCGAGGACATCCCGGAGCAAGAAAAGGTGCGGTTAAGCTAGCCGCTAGTCCTGGTGTTGCAAGAGGAATTACTGAAGATCGGTTGCGCTGTTGGCGTGCAAACGGGAGGAAGATTGGCTCCAGCGTCCACCATGCCCTAGTCCTCATGTTTGGTTGGTATGTTGACGTGGACCTGATGGAATGACATTATTTTTTCGTCGAGGTAGGATAGTTTTCAACAACATTTCTGGACCAGAAGAGGTACGGTTTTGTTGCGGGTTTCGAGGGGCCAGCAGGCCCAAACCGTGCGAAAATCGAAGGCGAGCCGGTCTCCTCCCCTCTCCACGCTTCTCCTTCGTCGTCGGCATTCATGTTGTGCGTACCGATTGTGCTTGCCAGTGTCGTCAGTTTTAGGTTTCATTGCTGAGGCGGTTCTCTTTGCTTGCTGCGTCATTGATCGCGATGGTGCATTGCTCTCTTCCGTGCCCTAGTTCTGCAACGAAGCAGCAGTCACAACACTCAACACCTTGCCGTGCTCGTTCTGACTCTCCTGCCTGTCTCGCCCGGACAGCTTCGCGGGAAGGCCTATGCGGGTTTCTTGGCGGACCTGAGGGAGTACCTGGGCGGCTTCCTCACTCGCACACAGCCTCTCGTCGACCTCGACGAGGTGAGGGCAAGCAATGACTTGAATTGAATATATTTTTCACATTTTGTGACTAGATGAAGATGTTTCGGTTTCATGTTTGCTGTCTCGGTTTCGATATCCAATCACGTTTGCTGCTCAATATGTTTTTCAGCCTCCTAATTCGGTCTATTTTTTCCATGTTTCTGCTTTTTTGTTCTTCGGGTCGCACGTTGGTTCGCTTCACCTGACTGCTGCATTTGGGGCTTATCGGTGTCTATTTTTGCCGTCCTCGCTTCGCTTCCTTTGTTCTTGCCGTGGCCTCTTTTCGTTACGTAGAACCGTTTTTATCGTCTTGGGTTTCGGACGACGCTGAAGGCTCTAGCGTTGTTCATTCCGTTGCGCGCCGCTTTTCGCACGTTTCTCTTGCTCTTTTGTATTCAATTTAGGTGCTGGGTGACACGGACAGCGCTTTCGAGGAGGCCTGGGAGGCGGGGACGTTGCCAGGGTGGACATCTGGGCGAGCGGCGGCGGCAGCAGCAGCAGCAGCAGCAGCGGGGAAAGGCAGCGCGGCGGCCCCGCGGGTGCTGGACTTGAAAAAGTGAGCTGTTGGGGCAGGTACTGCTATGGCTGGTGGTGTTGCAGCCTGTTGTGCGTACGTGGTAATTTTGGGCAGTGTTGAATGGTGTTGTGTGTGACACGCACAGCCGTTTTGTTGTTGGGGGTGGTGACGTCATGGGGTTGTTGTCGACAACCCGCCAAGTGCCCGTCGTTTGCGGGTATTTACCGACGACACAAATGAAGTCTGTCTGGATCGTGTATTGCATTGGTGTGCTCGTTGGCGTCGTGACAGTGATCTCGCCGTGGTGGCGCCCCCAAGCACCGCAAGTTTGATCCGCCGGCGTGCCGTGTTCGCAGGGTATATGGTGTGCCCGCACGACATCGCCATTGTGGCACGGTGTTTTTTCTCCCAAGAACGGTGTTGCCGTGTTCATAATGCGACAGCTGTGGGTGGTTCTGAGCGACTTTTGGAGGGTTGTTGTTGTTATTGTCAATGTCTTGACGTTCAAAACCGTTGTGAACCCTCTATCCAGTGCCTCCTTCCTTCTGTACTGATATTACAATTGACGCGATCGATTGGATGGTAGGCATTTTGAATCGCGAACCGTTGTGCTGAGGAGGCCTCAACATGAGCGATGCACACGTGTGCCCGGTGCCCTGGTCGTCTTCTTGCCAATCAGGTTCCACGACGCGGACGAGCTGCGCGCTTTGGGCATGGATCGCCTAAAGGAAGCTCTGCAAGCCATCGGACTCAAGTGCGGCGGTACCCTGGAGCAGAGAGCGGATCGGCTCTTTTCTGTCAAGGGGAAGAAGCCGGAGGAGATCGACCAGAAACTCAAGGTACCTCGACAGCAAACAAGTGTACACACGTGATAAATTACTCGTCTTGGTCAATTGCAAACCCCTCTGGCTTAACACATGGGGGAACTCATTTTTTCAAAAAGCCCGTTTATTTTCTTGGGGGCAGCACCCCTTGCCTGCCATGCATGGATTCCAGTTCCTCGAAATTGATACACAGCCGTGGGGTCATCCCGTTGTTCTCTCCACCTGGCAATACCAAGAATTCGCGGTCATGACACCACAGAACCGTAAAACGCTACACCCGCTAGGGATTTTTTTCTTGGTTTTCGCCACAAAGATGTTGATGCTTGTGTTACGGCCGGCAGCAGAGAAACAGCTAAATTTAGTCCAAACGCTGGCTTATCCATCCACTGAACGCTCCCCTGTGTGTATGGTACGTACGGACGCCCGTCTCCCTCTTGGTTGCGGTGGGTGTTTGGCAGGCTAAGGGACAAAAGGAGGGGAAGGGCGTGAGCAACGGAGTGGCGCCGGGGCACGGCGCGGACGCAAACGCGAACGGGACCGCTGGGGGGGCGGGGGGCGGCGGTGGGAAGGAAGAGCGGCGCAAACAGCTCGCTGCCCTAGAGACAAAGGTGCCCCGAGAGTTTATCATTCCGGGAGCATTTGGTTTGAGTTTCATGTTTTGGAATATTTGAAGAGGTTTGGTGAGCGTGATATCACTTTTAAACGGGCACGCTGTGTGGTACGATGGAGGTCGTTTGCGAGTTTTTGTGGGTTGTGCTGTTACGACTTGTTCCGGTGGCCCGCTTTCATGGCCAAAGCACAAGCGGCAGTGAATAGAAGTACAAAATCGGGGCATGATTGTCGACGGTGTGATGCGATATGCAGAGCTGATGATAACCCTTCTTGGTAGTCGTCCAGGAAGCCCTAAACTAGCAGGAATGGCGGCAGGTTATGCGAAACAACAGTGGTGGGTTGTGAAGAACAGCAGTACAAGATTCCGATTTCGAGCTCTCCTCGTGACCTCGTTGTTGTGGTTCGTCCTCTCATGAGTGTCCAGGGTGATGCACCGTTGTTGTTGGTGATGTAGGCGCCGAGAATCACTGAAATGCTGGTGATCATCTTCCCTTTTTTTTTGCCCTGACGCCTGTTGTTGCCTCTTGCCATGGTGAAAAAAAGGTAAAAGCACTTCTAGAGGTACAGACGGACACACTAGAGTCGACGAAGCGGCAGGTGGACAAGAAGCAAACTAGGACGGTGGAGGAGCGCGACCAGGAGATCCAGGAGGAGGAGCAGGGAGCTCTCCCCGAGTTCAACGAGGTCGGTGCCGACACGTGGTCATGTCTTGGGTTGTCGCGGGTGTTGTTGGATTTGTATCCGCAATAAAGGCCGTTCTTGTGCCATCTTCTGCTCTAGATGTGTTTGTCGATGGTAATATGTTGGTTCTAGTTCTTAGAGATCCGTTCGTGTGTCTGTCAGATCCAAGGGACGATGGGCCCACATTCAACCATCCAACCGATGCAACAAGGCCCAACCGAAGCGACCGATGACGTCACTCGACTAGGCCAATCAAATCAACCCCAGTCCCGAGCTATCTATCCAATCAGAAATGACCTTTCGCCTTTACTTGTACCCTAACCTACCGAATCACCAGGAGGAAGAAGAGGAGAGCGATGAGGAAGGGCCCATCTACAACCCTCTCAATCTCCCGCTCGGGTGGGATGGAAAACCTATTCCTTACTGGCTCTACAAGCTTCACGGGCTCGGGGTGGAGTTCAAGTGCGAGATCTGCGGCGATTTCAGCTACAAGGGCCGGAGGTATTTGTGTGTGTTAGTTGTCAGCATCCGACCATACGGGCTGAAAATGAAAATTCGCCAGTCTTATCGGCAAAGAGCGGACTCAAGGCCATGATGTGTGTGTGTTGCTGGTTGTATTTGTGGTCTTTGTCTGCTCATATGTGCTTTCGAGTGTTGTGAGGGCTACCCAGTACCGCCATAGATGCTGTGCTTTTTCATCCACGCAGTGAAGATGAGTTTTCGGCTGCCCCGAGAGCCGGACGAAGTGCAAGTTCCGGTTGTTGTATGTATGCCGATAGTCTGATGAACCTTTCAAAGATACTCCGCCAATCCGTGCCTGCTCCTTTCTTCCCTCCTGTGCTTGTCGTTGAGCTCGTTTTTGCTCTTGTCCGGCGTTCTGCTGCTGCTGTTGTTTCGACCGGCGCAATCGAGCTGCTTCGAACGAAATCGTCGCCCACACCGATAAATTTGCTCGTCCCCCTCAATAACTCGCGTTCTGGTTTACCTGTGTTTCGGCGCTTTACATGTTTGACTTTCGTCTTCGCCGCGCGCTGTGTGTGTTATGCTTTTTGCGGTTTTTCTTGTTCTTTGGCTTGCGGTGCTGCCGCAGGAATTTCGACCGGCACTTCCAAGAATGGCGTCACGCGCACGGCATGCGATGCTTGGGCATCCCGAATACGAAGCACTTCCACGACATCGTCCTTATCCAGGTGGGGCGGCAGGCAGAACAATTGTTTGGTAGAGATATCTGCCAGCTCTTCTGATGTGCGTTGTGTGTTGCCCTTGAACGGTGCTGGTCATGTTCGACTCAATCACGGCACCTTGATGGTGGCAACACTGGAACGCAGTGTTGCCGTGAACAGCAGGACTTCGCCTTTCTTGCGGCATCACTCTTTGAAAACTTGACGTAGAAACGATGACAGTTTCGTGTATCAGTGTGGGCAGCTTGAGGTGTCCTGTGATCAACAATTCACAGACTCACAAATCCCCCTGTATATTGCTGCAGCAATAACGTTTTGACCCCTCAAGCAAGATGGCTATAAATACATTGTGTTTTCTCTCGACGATTGCGTGTCTCTGCTGAGCATGCAGGACGCACGAGACCTCTACGCCAAGATCAAAGACTCGTTGGACAAGGAGCAGTGGAACCCCGAAGACAACGAGGAGTACGAAGACGGGGAGGGCAACGTGCTCAACAGACGCACCTACGAGGATTTGGCCCGCCAAGGCCTCATGTAACGGAGTGGTGACCTGGCGTGGTGCCGAGACGGCGGGAAGAGAGAGAGAGAAAGGCGGTGGCCAGGGGAGTGAGGATGCTCCGCTCTGTAGCAGCGTGTGCTCGGGGGTGGGGGACGGGGGTATTTGTGCTGGTGCTGCTGGTGCTGGAGCTGGTGGTGCTGCTGCTGCCTCTGCTGCTGCTGCTGCACCTGCTGCTTTGGTTTCGGGCATGGACGAAGCGAGAGGGAGATTTGCTGGTTTGCTGCCGCTACCGTTGGATCTGCTCGGCGTGCGTGCTCATGTGGCGGATCAGGCATTGGTGGAGTGTTTGTTGCTCTCCCGTTTCAGATGCCCAAGAGAGTTGCAAGTACAGGGCACGGCTTCATCTTCTCTTGTGTGGGTTGCATGCGTTGTTGTACGAAGCGTGTTTCGAAGATGATCACGGTANCGGATCAGGCATTGGTGGAGTGTTTGTTGCTCTCCCGTTTCAGATGCCCAAGAGAGTTGCAAGTACAGGGCACGGCTTCATCTTCTCTTGTGTGGGTTGCATGCGTTGTTGTACGAAGCGTGTTGCGAAGATGATCACGGTTCGCTGTAGGAAACAGCTAGCTGCGTGTCTGGAATGCGGGGAAGTGATGTTTTTGTTGCATGTATTTCCACCTGCTGTCAACTCCGCCGCCTCAGGTAACGATAGCCTATGTAAGTGTACAGTTGCTGCTGCGCACGTTTTTCTATCGCCTCTCGTTGATGCGTTTATCATGGTTTGTACCCGCACGGTGCCTCGTGTAGTAAAAGGGTCAGATGGGTTTTTGCTATCCCAACCAGTGTTGTAGTAGTTTCGTGCGCGACACAATCACACACGTCTTCTCTCATTTTCATTTGGAGGTACAAGAGTTATTAGGGTAGGAAGCCAGCGATGGCGTTGATTTGTGTGCTAGTGTTAGCTTTTCGAAACGGTGGGGTGGCCACTCTCAACTAGCGGGTGTCGCATACTGCTTATCCATACTGACGCAAAGAATAGAGCTCGTCAGATAAGAAACTTTGCGAAATGGCTTATGGCGACGGTAACGGAGACTTACGATGAAGCGTGTGTTGACGTGTTTTTCCATGGCGATCGGGTACACCTTGTAGTCTTCAAGGACTTCCGCATGGGCTGAAGATGCCGAGGATTTGGTCGCCTTTTCCCTGCCACAGCTTTGATGAGGCCAAGTTATGCTTGCCCTTGTACCAGGCGGCCTCATTTCCAATGCTTGTGTAGTTGTTCTCTGCTGGCCAAAGAAGCAGGAATTGTTGTTGACCAGGCAAAGTACCCACGTCTCGGCCGATATAAGATAGTGTGTATGGTGGTGGCGTCGTAAGGACTTACGGCGGCCACGGCTGGATGGTGTTGGTGTCGTCGAAAGACGAGCGTCAAGATGACCTCGATGTCCGAAAGACGCCGAAAGTTGATCCCTTGACATGTGATCACGCTAATTTTGGGGAAAGTAAAATTTTTCGTGTTCGGGTCAACATTTACAAGTGCTCACATAAGATACGAGTATTTTTACTACATCCAACGAGGTAGAGCACCCATCCGGGACAGGGCTGGATGGTACATGCCATGTCGAAGTCCCTAGGGTGAAGCTCTTGGGACAGGGCTTGGTGGTACATGTCATGCCGAAGTCCCTAGGGTAAAGCTCTTGGGACAGGGCTTAGTGGTACATGTCATGCCGAAGTCCCTAGGGTGAAGCTTGGGAAGCACCGGCCGCAACCATGCAACTGTCACAGGCACCAAGTACAAGTGGAGCACCCTCAGGCGGAGTGGTCGCGGACTCTCTCCTCAGCATGGCCACGTCATCACCAATCGTGGAAACCATGAATTATGACATATTTTTCGGCTTGGAACAGCAAGCAAACCCGCGGGGCAAACGAGCTACAGGTTTGGGTGGGTGGCTCTCATCGCCCCCCGCCCACCCCCGCCCGTCCGTCACTCTACATCTCCAGTCGTTTGTGCGGCCAACCAAGAACAACGCACCTTCGTCTGCCCCTCATCTGACTACGCGTCGTCGTCCTTTCCCCAAACAAGCAACACACCCATCCGCGTCGCGAAGTGGCACCAAACCCCAAACTGCTATTCGCTACTGTGTCGTTCGATTGCACGAGGGCATGAAACAGCAAGCTCTACGTCGGTCTCTACGCTCGAGTCAAAGCGTGAACCACTTCTTCTCCATTGCCCATTCTCTGCTCCTCTCAACAGTCCTCTACTACACCATACATTGCTCTCCTCTACTTGTATATCATTTCGTACAACGAACATGCACGCACCCACCCCTCTAAGAGGGCGACAACTATTATCACTACCGGGAAACCTTGCCGTCGCCAGACCCGACCCCGCCGCCACCGCCGCCGCCCAACGGGATCCGGAAGCGGCTGGAGGCGGGGGCCTCC